GTCATATATATATATATAATAATTACATATGTAATTTTATTTTGATGCTTTTATTTTTTTTATTTTCTTAATACTCCTTTTGAAAGGCAGACTTTCAATTTTTTATGAAGTCTAACTTAGCTTTTAAAATTATGATTAACCAAAGTCCATTGTCAATATAGACTTCTTAGTTCTTATATATTGTCTTTTCTCTATTTCAGGATCCCATCCAATATTGCATACTACATTTATTTTTCATGTCTCTTAGCAGTGGCAACTTTTTTCTGACTTTATTTTGTTTTTATTAATTTTGACAGTTTTGAGGAATACTGGTCAAGTGGGTTTTTAAAAAAATATATATTTTATTGATTTTTTACAGAGAGGAAGGGAGAGGAATAGAGAGTTAGAAACATCGATGAGAAAGAAACATCGAGAAGCTGCCTCCTGTACACCCCCTACTGAGGATGTGCCTGCAACCAAGCTGCATGCCCTTGACTGGAATAGAACCTGTGACCCTTTAGTCCGCAGGCTGATGCTCTAGCCACTGAGCAAAACCACTTAGGGCTGGTCAAGTATTTTGTACTATAAACACACTACTAAAATATTTGTGTTGCCTGGCCAGCATGGCTCAGTGGTTGAGCATTGTCCTGTGAACCAGGAGGTCACTGTTCAATTCCTGGTCAGGGCACATGCTTTGGTTGAAGGCTCCATCCCCAGTGTGGGGCATGCAGGAGGCAGCCAATCAATGATTCTCTCTCATCACTGATGTCTTTATCTCTCTATCTCCCTTCCTCTTTGAAATCAATAATAATATATAAAATATTTTGTGATGTTTTGTTCATGATAAGATTGGGGTTAGTTATGGATTATTGAGCAGAAGACCACAGAAGTAAAATGACATTTTCATCACATCATGTCAAGTGTATGTACAATCAATATGATTTATGACTGTTAATGTTGGCCTCGATTAGCTGTCATTGTTAGTGCTTGTCAGGTTATTTCACTGCAAAACTCCCTTTTCCCCCTTTCCATATTTCCATACTATGCACTTTGGAAGGAAGTCAAAATATGCAGCCAACAGTGTAAAAAGAGTTATTTGAAATTGTTCTGCATGAGAAACTTGTCACTTCTCTATATTAACTTATTTAGATTAGTATGGACACATGATATTTACTTTATACTTTGGGTAATGATCCAATACCATCTATTTTATTGCTCAAATTATCCTAGATTTGGCTATTTTTTAACATATATTTTTATGACTTCAGAGAGGAAGGGAGAGGGAGAGAGAGATAGAAATGTCAATGATGAGAGAGAAGCATTGATCGGCTGCCTCCTGCACACCCCCTACTGGGTATTGAGGCACAACCTGGGCATGTGCCCTGACCAGAAATTAAATCATAACCTGGTTCATAGGTCCACTGAGCGACACCAGTTAGGTTAGATTTCACTATTGAGAGCTATGTATATTGGCTCCTGTGCTGCTTTGACATACCCCCACCCCCACTGTGTGTGTGTGTGTGTGTGTGTGTGTGTGTGTGTTCCTGGTTCTTCAAGATACTTTAGGCTCATTATGCATATACCAGAGGCCCGATACACGAAGATTCATGCAAGAATGGGCCTTCCTTCCCCTGGCTGCCGGCACTGCCTTCGCTCTGGCCGGGGGCTGCCTTTCTGCCTTCATTCTGGCTCAGAGCCGCCTTTCCACATTCCCATACTGCCCAGAGGTCTGGAGCAGCTGGGGCGGTGTGGAACGCCATGGTGATGACACATGTGGCCCACCCCACCCCCGGTCACTCGGGGCCTGCATATGCAAATCAACCCACCATCTTTGTTGGGTAAATTTGCATACTCACTCCTGATTGGCTGGTGGGCATTGTGAAGGTACGGTCAATTTGCATCTTTCTCTTTTATTAGTGTAGATTCTGCTCTAGTTCTAAAATCAAGCATTTCTTCAATAAGTCCAGGCTCTTTTATTTAAGAATGGTATTAGAAACAAAGATGTGGGTACTAGAGGTGCTTGTTGCTACTAGAGGTGTTTGTTCAGTAGCATCACTCAGCTGATAGAGCAAAAGGATATGTGTTTATATCAGCCTATGTATATAAACATGTGTAGAAATATTTCATTATGTAACAACTCGTACCTACTTTAAGCTAAACATGTTTACATTAATGTCTTCATACCTAATTCATTTCCACATGTGTCATTCTTAATTCCTTTTCTTGTCTGTCTGTAAATTCCACTCCACCAGTATAACCCTTGGTTTTCACCATCTGCCATCCATTTATTTCATTATCTCACTCTAGTACACTTATATAGTAGTATCAGAAGTGTTAAACCATATTCTGATGAGAAGCAAATTTATCAACTTGAGTAAAATATCTATGTTTAGTTCCTTTTGCCTTGTTTTATAGACTTTACTTCTTTCTGAAGATACATAGGTCAGCACTTTTTCCCTCCATCCCCTTCAGGGAAGTTGTTTTTTACATTTGTAACACGGATTCTCCCGCCACAGTCTGAATGCTTTCCTGGGTTCTCTCTACCTCATAAAGGGTTTTTAAAATTTGCCTACGTTCACTTCACTTTTGGGGAAGCATTTTGACAACTGTATAGTGCTCTGTATTCACCATTATAATGTCACATCGTATAATTTTACTGTGCAAAAAATGTCCTGTGCTTTACCTATTTATTCCTCCCTCAACCCACTGAGTCCCTAGACATTTTTACATGTCTATATTTTATGGAGAAGAGTGATCTTGACAGAGAAATGAAACTGATTTCAATAACTAAGCTACCATTCTAGCCCTTGGACAAACCTCCTGGGGTCTATGTCAGTATTCTCGTCAGTTACTCGTCATCCATCTTACCAGAGATGCTGCAGTGGAAGGGGTCGGCATGCCTACACTGTCATCGGAGCAGGCTATTGCTTGAAAGCACGTGCCTTCTCCCCATTTGCTGTCTCCTTGACCCAGAGTTTTCACAGAGACCCCCTTCTAAGTTCTAGAAGAAAGCAATCTTCCATGAGGCTGAGATATAAATGCCGTGTAAGGACATAGTTCCTTTTCCACTAGAGAATGCAGATCAGCACCTGGCATCTCTCCTTCCTGCTTTTTACTGTGAGCTGCGACTGTTTCCTTCACTGTCTACATTCACAGTTCATGGAGTAGGACCAAGCAGTGAAGGTGCGCTCATCTGGAAGTGGGATCGTGCCATTCCATTGGGGGAAACCATTGGTCCTTTTCTTGTCCCTAGAGTTTTGCATTTTCTAAAATGTTTAATGATTGGAATCACACACTAAGTAGCTTTTTCAGGCTGTTCCCTCTTCCCGCTCCCAATGTTCCCTATGTATTTAAGGTTTTTCCATGGCTTTGTATGTCTTGAATTTTTTTTTTTAAATTTAAATCATCATGTACTATAGCATTATATGGGTGTGCCAGCATTTTTATTCATTCAGCTATCAGAGATTACTTCTAGATATTGGTGATTATAAATACAGCTATTACAAAAAGATGTATGTAAGTTTTTACATAAACATAGATTGTCATGTTCAGCTTTGTAAAACATTTCCAGACTGTATCCCAAAGTGGCTGTATATGTTTTCATCCTCCCCATCAATAAATAAAAATTCCTGTTATCCTATATTCTTCCCAGAGTGTGACATTTCCAATTCGAGAAGGGGAGGTTGGATAGTCATTCTATAGGTGTGTAGTATAGAATATATTCAAATATAACAATTCATATTTTGTTCTTCCCTTGAGATCAAGAGATAATTACAAAAAGTAAAAGGAGTTGACTCATTTGAAAAATGTGATGTGGGAAAGAAAAGATAAGTAAGCGTAAAGGTAAAATATTTACAGTGACTGTCACTAACTTTCCAAACATTTCCATTTTTATTTCAGTAGCATTTTTCCCCTTGGACTAGAAACGGAAATTTCTTTGGTGGAGATTAACTTTATCAGGCAATGGAATAACTCATCATTAAGAAGTGCACCCAAGAGAAAAACTGCCTATTTTATTTTATTTGTTGGGTTAAAAAAATACATAAAAGGGGAAAAAAGCAATATTAGTAGTTTTCACTCTTTCTAGTGTATAGGACTGGTATTGTTAGACATGTCATGCTTAGGTTGGAACATCACATTTCCAAGGCCAATGCAAGGAAGATGATAACAAGATAGTGCCTCTTTTTCAGCCATTCAGGCAAAATCAATAGTGTTTTATTGGAGCTTGGGTGAGAAAACAACTTGTCATGCCAGCAGCTAAGCAATACGTGTTAATAGAAAGAAAACACTGTTTAGAGCCAGCAGCCCGGGAGATGACAGCTGTAGGCACGATTGCTTATTGCTGGTGGTTTCAGGTCATGGATGCACACAGTAAATTCAGACAAAAAGAGCAACATGTGCTGGTGGGAAAGCTTTGTTTCACTCTCCCAGGTACAGCTCCTTGGAGTCTGCAACATGACCAGACCAAGACATGGAACTGTCCCTTCTGGTCAAAGGTATACACACTCAATGGCTATTTTTCACATGATGTTGAGGATTGAGATGGTTTTTAATATTTCATAAATGAGTAAATAGGATCACCACCTGATAAGTGAGGAGCACGGATTCTGTATGCTGACCTCCTTGGTTCAACTACACCTTTCATCTCTTCTGAGCATGTGGCCAACGAGCAAGCCTTTGGGCATCCGTTTACTCTTTTTTATATAAGGGGCCAATAGTGATACGGGTACCATAGTTGTATAAGGTCAAGAGTCCATATTTCTGTATCATCTAAAAGAGTGTGGCTCACAAAATATAAGTCACCCATTTCAAGGGTACAAATCAATGGATTTTAATATATTCACAGAGTTGTGCATCTTTTACCACTATTAGAACATTTTTTTTTTCACTCTCAAAAGAAATACAGACCCCAAACCTGCCTTTCTCCACAGTCAAAGGCAACCACTAATCTACATTTTATTTCTATAGATTGGCCTTCTCATACAATATGTGGTCTTTTGTAACTAGGTTCTCTCACTTACCATAACGGTTCCAAGGTTCATGCTGTAGCCTATGTCAGTATCACATTCTTCTTTCCTTGTATTCCTCTTGTACACACTCTTGTATTCCTTCTGTTTGGATCTTATTTCAGAAATGAGTGTTTGACTGTGTATTATTGCAAGTTATCTCTGTGGGCCTTAACAAGAATCCCATGGGAAAAGCGGCTGTGCATTTAGATTTCCTCAAGTTTCAGAGTTGTCACATAAGCACCACAAGACCAGGGCAAGCTTTGACACTGTCCCTTTCCTAATATTTATGATTTCTATTATTTCTGTTACTTCTACCTGTGATACATTTGACTCCCTCACTTTCTTCATATTTGTATTCCTAAGGTGGAGAAAGACCTTAGGTAGGTGAGGAAAAACATAGAGACCAGTATTGCTGTAGTATTTGAGTATTAAAATATCAGAAGAGAGAACATGATATATATCTAGGACTAGATAGTTTGTAACAAATTTGACTTTTTATTTGGAATTAAATGGTAAGCTACTAAGGGGGTTTTGTTCAGATGTATTGCATAATTTTATTTATTTCTATTTTAATATTTACATATTAATATTTATAGATTAAGATAAAATTGCCATGTAACATTGGGCAAATTTAGGGTTTACAAAGCATTGACTTGATACATTTATATATTGCAGTATGATCAGCACTATAGCATTAGCTAACACCTCTATTATATCACATAAATATCATTTCTTTTTCTGTGATGGGAGCAACTAAGATTTACTCTTAGCAATTTTGAATTTTATAATACCACATTATTGTCTATAAACACTATGCTGTGTATTAGGTCTACATGGCTTAGATATTTACTAATTGCAAGTTTGTTCCCTTAAGCAACATATCCTCAATTCTTCCACTGCCGGGACACTCAGAGTTACCATTGAACTCTCTGTCCACAGGCCCCGGGCTGTTTTCCCAGCAGCACTCTGATTGCAGACCTTGCTCTCATCTCTGTACTAGGGAGCACACTCAAGGAGCTGGCTGCCACATCCAGGGGAGGTGTGAGTTAATCACTCAGCGCTGGGGGTGCTTGTAATCTTGGGTGTGGTACTCCCAGAAGCGGCAGACTTGCTGCTGAGGTCCTCAGCTCGGTCAGCAGGAACCTTATCCCCTTAACACCCTTTGATGTTCTATCTGCCTCTTTCTCTGTCCCCTCCCTCCACCCAGTCATGGCGGTCCTGTCTCAGTCCTCTGGGTGCTACTGGAGAGAAGCAGGTTTCTCTAGCCACATTCCCACAAAGGTAGTGTAGCCGTGCACTTACCATTCTTCTTGTCTAGCCGGGCATTCTGTGCTGCTGCAGAGTTCAGCTCTATGCACTGTTGCCTCGGGGTGGGTGGTGTTGGTATTGATTTTCTTACGATCCGCACTGAATCCAAACTCATATTTTGTGTTTTCACCAATGGCGTGCTGGAATCTCCCCTTAGGAAGGCTGGACTCGTCAGATGATTGTTTTGTCCGTGAGTATCTGACCAGGCCAGCAGGCTCCGGGTTATTTTCCTCCCCATGGTCCCTTGCTCTGCTGGTTCCACAGCCCATAGAGAGGTCTGCCTGCCTATTACTAGAGGCACAGGTGGGCAAGGCTGTCCCCGAGTGCCGTGGAATATGGTACCGGATTTCACAATTCCTCTTTTGTCTGCGGGTAAATGTCTGATTAGTTGTTAAAGAAAGGGGACAAGAAGAAGGAACATCTTATGCTGCCATGATACTGATGTTACCTCCTATATTCATTCTTATTGCTGAATAATTTCCCACGGTATGCATATACCATATTTTGTTTGTCCACTTATGATCTGATGGACAGTCAGGTTGTGTGTGGACACCTTGTAAGTTGTTTCATAAGTAGAAAGAGAGAGACAGAAAGTGAACAAAAGCCTCAAATTTTTCCTAACATGCACTATTTTGATTAACTGGATTCTTGCTGTTTCTGGCCCGCTTCCCTGCAGGGCTGGCCCTGCCCCACACAGTCCTGGACCTTTGGTGTATTGGGCGACTTCCAGGTTTGAAAGTCGCCCAGGAAAACCTTCAAGAGTGAGTCGAAGTGGGAACAGAACAAGTTTTATTCAGGTAGAGAAAAAGAAAGAGGCCAGGGCGTAGGCACCACTGTGAAATATGGGAAGGTGCGCATCCTAGTGGGCGTGGGCCAACTCCCTGGTGAGTTGCACACATGGTCAATTAGTTCTTGGGTTTTTATCTGTTTCCAGGGGAGCATGGGGTTGCCTCCAAGCCTTGTGGACAAAATTCTGACTCCACCTGCTGGTTGCAAGGGGGCCTGGTTGTTATGACTTCCATGACCACCAGGGGTTCCCTGCCTTAAAATGTTTGCCTTTGATCATGCATGGAATGGGGGTGCCAGTGAGAAGATGTGGGCTGCTACTTCCTTACTCCTCTTTGTAGGGATTTTTCCCTAACTTCTTTCTCTCCTGCCTCATTGTGTTCTGTTTTCTTTTGTTTTTCAACCAAAACCTCTGTTCCAGCTACTTGATTCACTTAATTTTCATTATATGATTTTAACCAGGTTGCATTATGTAGCTGCAACTCCACATTCCTTTTAATATCTTCCTGTTCAACTCGACTGAAATTGTTAAATTCTTCGTTCATCTGAAGCTTATGAAACTTACTTTGCCTCTTTTTGGCACTTACTATATTCTGGTCAAGAATCAAGGTACTCATCAACTCCCCTCCCCCCAAAACAATGCAAAAAGGGGAAAGCAAAACCTATTGTCTCTAGATGAAAATAAAATAGCACCTCTCAGCTAAGAAATACATCTCTTTAATATACATTACATTACATATGCATATATTCTGTCTTAATTAAGTTATATCATATCTTAATATATTAAGATATATTTAACATATGCCAAAATAGAAACAACTCCTCCAGTTTAATAATGTATAACTTTAAAAAATTATCCTTCACAAATAATGCTTATAAAAAGGTATAAACTCTTTGTTTATATGGAGCAAATAACAGACACTCTAACCCTAGCTGGTTTGGTTCAGTGGATAGAGCATTGGCCTGTGGACTGAAGTTCTGGGTTCCATTCCAGCCAAGGGCACATGCCTGGGTTGCAGGCTCAATCCCCAGTAGGGAGCATGCAGGAGGCAGCCAATCAATGATTAGCATCATTGATGTTTCTATCTCTCTCTCCCTCTCCCTTCCTCTCTGAAATCAATAATATATATATATATATATATATATATATATATATATATATATATATATATTTTGTGCTCTGACCAGGAATTGAACCTTGACCTCCTGGTTCATAAGTCAATGACCAGCATGTGCTCTGACCAGAATTGAACCTTGACCTCCTGGTTCATAGGTCAGTGCTCAACCACTGAACCATGCAGGCCAGGCTAATGACTACTTTTAATTGTCATATTCAGAGGCAAGTAATAAGCAGAAGGAAATAATACTAACCACTCTCACCTTACCATTCGGATGCCATTCATGTTGATGTGTGTGACCTTTCACTGCACAATGACTACATGACTACATATGTGATAGTAAGTTCTCGTAATTTATTTTGAAATAAAAGCAAGAGTGAACAGTACATTGATTCTATGTACCAGGTTATAAACATTTTCAAAGTGGAAGCTGGTTGTGAATATAATCTATATCCCATGAAGCATACTATGGGATTCCCCATGAAAGAAAGCACTGTCTGACACCACTAGCCAGTGCCCTGCATGAAGTGCAGTGTGTGGGTGCACATCTACCCCGGTCTCCTTGTTGATAGCTGTATTAGCTTGCTAGGGCTGGCATGACAGTGGATAGCACACTGGGTAGCTTAAACCACAGAAGTGTGTTTCCTCACAGTTTAGAGGCCAGAAGTCTGAGACTCAGGAGTGAACAGGGCTGGTTCCTCCTGAAGGTCATGAGTACAGGGCCTGCTCCAGGAAGAGAGCCTGGTTTGTCGATGGCCGTCTTCCCCCTGTGTCTTCACATCATTTTCCCTCTGTATGTGTCGGTGTTCAAATTTCCTCTTCTGATAAGAACACCAGGCATACGGAATTGAGGCCCACTCTAGTGACCTCATTTTAATTTAATTGCATCTTCAAACATCCAATCTCTACACATGGTCACTTTCTGATCCCCTGGTGGTTAGGCCTTTAGCGTATGGAATTTGGGAAGGGTCACAATGCAGCCTATAACATTACTTCAGTCTGCTGAATGCATGCCACGGAACACAGTAAAGATTTTGCTAACGCTAAGGTAAATTAGAGTCAATTTGAAATAAAAGCCTGCCTGTGATGACATTTTCAGGAGAGTTAAAAAACCATCTTCTCACATCTTCATCCCCAAGGATACAGGGTGCCAATATTAACTATAGAACTGTATATTTGCGCTCATCTATTCATATTGAGATGCCTCCCCATAAATGCAGCAGAGGAGCTGTGACTATGTAAAGCAGGGCTTGTGATAACTTTCTTCCATAGATGTGAAAACCGGCTCTGATAATTGACTTGCCTATGGCTACCAAGCAGGTCAGTGACTTCCCCAAAGTCCTGATTTGTCTGATAATGACTACCACATAGAATCTAATCAGTTGGCTCATCAGCAGCTATATGAAAAGATAAAATCCCCATTCCCTTGTCTTTAAGCTGTCCTGAAATGGGATCATTATACTTCTCTTTTTGCTACCACAGGAAACAATGGCTTATAAGTTAATTCAAAGAAAATTTAAATTTGTAAGATTAGGGTATAATTATAAGGTTCTGCTCATCTTCCTGTTGTTCCCTGGGGCGGTGATTGTGGTAGGCACAATAACAGCATCCCAAAGATGTCCCTATCTAGAAAATGTGAATACATTAGGTTCTAAGGCAAAATAAATAAATAAGTAAATAAATAAATAAAGTTGTAAATGGAATTAAGGTTGCTAATCAGGTGACCTGGAGATGAGACCATTATCCGGAATGATTGGGTAGACCTCGAATAATCACAAAGGTCTTTAAGTATGGAAGAGAAAGGCAGAAAAAGAGTCAGGGTGATGTGATATGAGAAGCTCCCAATCCATTGATACTTCAAAGATAAAGAACTTGGTGTTGTATTTTATTTGTGCTAACTCATTTTAGCCAAAAACACCCTTTGGGTAAAAATTAGTCTTAAATTTCAAAAATGATTGAAAACACAAAAGGTAAATTATAAAAACTTGAAGCAAATTGTTCAAGTAGTTAGTAAGCATCAGAGTTAGGGTCACCTAAAGGTCTCTCTGCCTCCAAAGATCCAAAACATTATGCTATTTTTAAAAATATAATTACTGTGCCTATGCGAAGATTATGCTCAATAGTGTCTTGCTGCCACCGTTTATTAATGATTGCTGGCTTAATAGAGAAGTGAGAAGTTGGTTAATAAGTGGGTGCATTAAAAAATGAAAATGTTAAACACCTTATAATCATTCTGAAAATATATGTATATATTTTATAAACTTTACATAATATACACTTTTTGCAATATGCACCACATAGACTTTATATTTATTATATATAAATGTATTTTAAAATAAATTAAAATAAATTGGAAACGATGATTACTTTTTAAAATTTGGGAGGTGACACTGATTAATAAGATTATATACGTTTCAAGTGTACAATTCTGTGATATATGTTCGGTATATTGCATTGTGTGCCCACCATCTAAGTAAAACTATCGTCTGCCATCATATATTTGGTCCCTTTTTCCCTTTACTACCTTGCCCCTTCCCTCTGATAACAACCATACTGTTGTCTGTGTCTATGGGTTTAATTTTTATGATTACTTTTTAAATGTGAAGAATCTTGTAATAAATATGTGGAGTGTGCTTTTAAGCAATAACTGAATGCGATATTTTCCCATGTCACCAGACATTTATCCTTGAAGTTGGAGCCAAAATATCACTTCATAAGCTCATGCTTGTTAGGGGCAATTGTGTTTTTGACTCTCCCAGGTTGAGTCAAGCTGTCATTCCTCTGTGTTTCTTCTGACCTTATATTCTCTTGATTATATACATATATCAAAACAAATTAATTTTGTCTTGCTGCTAATTGTGAAACAACTCAGGAAAAGATCCTTATTCATCTCTATATTCCATGTGCTTAAGTAAGGTACTCAATAAAGCATGCTAAAGTATATTCAAATATATCTACATCTGAATATTTTCATTCTTTGTCATAAGATTATACCTTTACCTAAATTCTGCCAATTTCTTCTGAGATCCCAATGCATTCATTGTATATTTTATTTTTTAACTTCACTATTATTATTTTTAATATTTTAAAATATATTTTTATTGATTTCAGAGAGGAAGGGACAGAAAGATAGAAACATTAATGATGAGAGAGAATCATTGATTGGCTGCCTCCTGCACAACTCATACTGGGGATTAAGCCCACAATCTTGGACATGTGCCCTGACCGGGAATTGAACCCATGACCTCTTGGTTCATAGGTCAGTGCTCAACCACTTAACCACACTGGCCAGGCTAACTTTAGTATTATTTTGGCAAGTCAGGTTTTGCCTCCCAACATCTAATGTGTTTAGGCTTTTTGGTAAGTTATTGAGGGTATTTGAAAGTAGTTGGATGTGTAAACCCTGAGAAAGAAGACACCTGTTAAGAAGGGCTCCTGGTGGTCAACGGACCTAAGTTTTTAAAAAATAGAGCCTAGAAACCCTTTCTGCACTGGAGCATCTCACGCAAACTGCACTTTAGGAAGAATTCTGCACTGAACTGCCTGCCTGCACTGTGCTTCTGCCCTTATAAAGAAGTCAGCCCTTACAAAGGAGTTCCTGAAATCCTATTTCAACCAATAGGACTGAAGCTTTCCCCATCCAATCAGGGATGTGTAGCTCCAACCAATCAGAGTGGATTTATTCTGACCAGTCAGAACATTGCCTTTCAGACAAATCAAACTGTGAGTACATGGAGTCCTCATTTGCATGAGGAACAACCAATCCAGGACCAGTGGCAGGGACTTCTGTCTATACAAGCCAGTTCTCCTCTTTTCCTCTGTCTTGGTAGAGTACACATCTAACACTGAGGACTATTCTTCACTGGTTGAGCTGAACCACCAAAGACATCTCCTGGGGGCAGATCAATATAGGCCAGTGCAGATTGGCAGAACAGACTGGCAGAGAAGGAAACCAACCAAAGACAGCAGAGCAGCACAGTGTAGCACAAAGCAGAGCAGTAAGGAACAGAGCAGCCCATGAAGGTGCAGAGCAGAGCTGTTTAGCCAAAGATGGGCCTGTTCATGGAGCTGCCTCAGAGCAGTAGTGTTTTCACAGCCTTTGCTGTTTCCCAATGGGGCTGTTTGCACTGAATAAAGTTTCCTTTGTCACTGCACCTGAATTGGGGATTCTTGTTGGAGTTGGATTGGCGCTAATGAGCATGGGTTGATAGAGATAATCCTAGGTTGTTGGAAGCATACTTTGGAAAAATTCTCTGAGCTTACAGACTGGACTGAAGGTAGGAATGAAATGTGAGTTCTGTAAGAGGTAGGATGAAACTGAAAGCAAAGACATTACTTGGGGCTATTGTTATAGCTCAAGTAAGATAAATAATATGAAATAAGAAGTGGGCATAGACAACAGTATGGTGATTGCCAGAGGGAAGGGTGTTGGGGGAAGTAGAAGAGAGTAAAGGGGGGGTGGTAAATGGTGATGGAAAGAGACTTGACTTGGGGTGGTAAATACACAATACATTATGCAGATGATGTATTGTAAAATTGTATACCTAAAACCTATATAACTTTATTAACCAATGTCACCCCAATAAAAAAAAAAAAAGACATGGGCAGTGATTTCACAGGAGTGAGTTAACAATTACATGCAATAAGAGCATTGCACATGAGGGGATAAGAAAAGGAGAAATCTAGAATGACTCCTCCATCGTCAGCCAAGTTAAAGAAGTAAGCTCTTTAATATGAATTACTTTAGTATTAAATCTCTTGAGCAGTTATTTATTCTTTGCTACTCTTAATGAAAATCTGATGTTGAAGACTTTCTTTTATTTTAATATATTTTTATTGATTTCTGAGAGGAAAGGAGAGGGAGAGAGAGATAGAAACATCAATGATGAGAGAATCATTGATCAGCTGCCTCCTGCACACCCTGTACTGGGGATGGAGCCTGAAACCCAGGCATGTGTCCTTGACTGGAATCAAACCCGGGACCCTTCAGTCCACAGGCAGATGCTCTATCCACAGAGCCAAACCAGCTAGGGCAATGATGTTGAAGACTTTTACTTCTCAAGTTTCCAGATATATTTCCCTTGCTACCATATGTCATCAAGTGAGCATTGAGGTGTTACAAAGGTCACCTTTTTCTTTGCCTGTATCTGAGACTATGTAAACAAGATTTAAAACAAAAACAACAACAAAAACAAAACAAAAAACCCACAACTAAATAGTTACATGGCAATGACCTGATAGGATAAAGTTCTTTGAGCTGAGTTCATTTGAGTCAGCACTCAACT